TATCACTGGATTTCTAAGATCCACAGAGTGAAGCTGTCATTTAAACAAACACTACTATCTATATAGAGAAAAGCCTAAGTGACCATATGACCGAACAACTGGAACGACTGGAATGACTGGTCAACCAGTCGCTATGATGCACACTGACCACCAGGGGGCAGATGCTCAATGTAGGAGCTGCCCCCTCGTGGTCAGTGTGCTCTCACAGCCAACCTCCCATGGCCGGCCCACCTCCATGGCCCCTCCCCACAGCCGGCCGGCCCTGATTGCCCCAATTGGAACCTCCCTCGGCCCTGATCCCCGGCCAGGCCGAGGGACCCCACCTGTGCACGAATTCATGCACCGAGCCTCTAGTGTATAGATAACCACCATTTTAATGCTGGTTGAAAACTCTTAATCAATGAGAGCATTATGAGGCTATTCAATCCCAAATAGAAGATTACCGGTTTACACTTGTGAAAAGAGCCTTAAACTCAGAGATGAGAGAGGAAGCAACCTTGCAGAGTGGGGAGTGGAGAGGGTGGTAAGTCAGCTCCTCTTCACAGTGAGCTCTGCCCTCAGCAGCTCTGAGGCTCTGCATTTGTTACTTCACCCTTATAAGCCTCAGTTTCCCAATGTGTAAAGTGAAGATAATAATACCACCTGCTTCCTAGGGCTGTTGGGAGGATCGCATACACGTAGAATTACTGGCACCGTGCTTGGCCCACAGCAAGGGCTTAGTAAGCGCTGACTACTCTTCATGTCCTGACAGTTCTGGGTCTGTCAGCAATGAGCTGTGGGCGCCCAGGCTTGTCTCTAACACACTTGACTGTCCTTTTCTATAAAACAGGAATGAAATGATTTGCCCTGGAGATGAAATGATTTAATGGCTTTTAAAAGACTATAAAAGTTAAAAGCACTGACCATAAACAAGTGTTCATTGTTGCAGATAAAATATTCGGTGTATGAATTATTCATGCCACTTGCTCTCCGTCTTCCTTCAGAGGCTTTGACCGTTTCATTACTTGTTAGCTTTTAATTTGTAACTTAGCTCCCTTCCCACCCTAGGTCTTTTATCGAGTACTGCACATCTGTCTCAGTGTCATATGAAATGGTTAGAGCCCCGTGAATTGCGTTGTAAACAAACACTTTGCCAAGTGCTGAGATTTGTTTCCCCATTGACAAAGGTGGAAACTGAGGCTCAGAGGAGCCAAGAGAGCCCCCTCTCTCTGGCTGGTTAGTAATAGACAAGAACTGCAATTTCTGTTTTCAAGACATCAGCCCAAAGTTTCTTCTTTGGGACATACTTCTCTTGGGAAATGTCCTCTGCTTAAAGCATCTGACTGGGAGCACTGCATTTTTGTTGAATAAATAAAAGAAAAACAATGATTCTTCGATCATAATGGGTTAGAATTGTCTCAATTCTAAAATTCTATAATCTATGAATCTTATGTGGGTATAATATCTAATTTATATATTATCTATAATATATTGAATAAATGTCCTCAAAATAGGTTGTCTATGTGAATCGACAGATCATTAACATTAACAGATCACCCTTTTTATTAATTAAAAAATTATTATTTTTTCGCCCTAGCAGGTTTGGCTCAGTGGATAGAGTTCAGCCCATGAACTGAAGGGTCCCAGGTTCATTTCTGGTCAAGGGCACATACCTTGGTTGCAGGCCTGATCCCTGGTCCTGGTCGGGGTGCTGATGTCTCTCTCTGTGTGTCTCCCCCTCCCTTCCATCTCTAAGGAGGAATGCCAGTGAAGGTCAGGGAAGAATGAGCACCTATCTAGCAAGACCGAGTGACTGAACGGACCCTGGGACCCACAGTATCCCTACCAGATAGCTCTTGAGTCCAACCACCCACAGTATCCCTACCAGATAGCTCTTGAGTCCAACCATAGGATCATGGCACATCTAATGAGTGTTGCCCTTGACTGTCCCTACTGAACGGGTCAGTGGGCCTCAGTAGTAATAAAACAAAAGCTCACCATATTGGCTGAATATGGAATTGGATAATTTTGTAGTTAGGTTTTTCCTAATGGATTATGAGTCCTGAGAAATAAATTTTCAAGACTTAAAAAAAATTTTCTAAATCTGAAAGCGTTTATGAGGATGTGCAATCTTCTTGATCAGCATCATTTAAAAAAATACCATAAACTCCAAGGAAATATAACATCTACTTGGACAAAATTATACTAATTTTTTAAGGCACATAAAAATGGGTGCATTGCTTTAAGAACCTGATTAGGTCTTGATTAGTTTACAAGAACATAAGCCCAAAGGTATTAGGCTGATTAATGAAATCTGTGTGTAAGATGCTCTTTCATGGATGGTGTTTTGTGAAGCTCAATTTCATGTTAGTTTTTAGATGGAAAAAATATTTATAAAAGGACTCTGGCTTATCAATCTTAATTGTTGCTAACTACATTGTGCCTCTGCACAGCTACAATATGAGCAACCATCATCTCAAATCCCTTCAAGATGTAGCTCGTTATAAACTCTGGTCCCCTGGAAGCTGGTGATGGAACAAAGGATCTGCATTACCAGTTATAAAGAACCAAGATGAGGAAAATAGTAATTTGTTAACACAATCACAATAATACGGATAAAATAGTTTGGCTAAGATAGGTTTTGTAAAAGTCCATCTACCTTCTACTTACATGAAAGCTCAATTGGATCATGCACTTGGGACTGAAACTTCTAAAACTGGGGGTGGTACTTAAGAGGCCACATACAATTTTAGGAATGTGTTCAAGCACCTCACAATGCACTGTGAGATTCTGTAGGAACCAGACATTTTTTTTTTAGTTTTATTCATCTATTTGCTGGGACGTTTAAGGACTAAACAAAAGCTCGACATTCTAGAATTTAAAAAAATCTATTGGGCAAACAAAGAAGTGTGGGTAAATTAAGCTTAAGAGTATGTGATTTGGATTCACAGTTCCTGAAACTTACATTACACTACTTACTGACAGTAATTTTTGTCACTCACCCATTTAGGAGGCTTACTTAACCTCTCAGAGGTACATCTGCAAATATGGGTAAGAAGGAGTACCTCAGCCCTGTAGTAGGACTAAGAGAGACACTTTGTGAGTACCTCATAATCTGTGCTGAGGACTAAATGAGACACTAGTCATAAGGTCATGGACTCAATGTGGACACATTAAGTATCCACCTATTTTAGTAACAGAATTTTATAGCTGAATCTTTTAGCTATAAAAGACAATTTTCATCTTGGAGAGTAGGCTTAAGTCTCTAGAAATAGCATCAAGAGATATTTTAAAAATACAAACAAAAAATTCCCACCAGCTTTAGTATCTGTCCACAAGTCTATACATGCAGAACTGAGCCACTGTCCCTTCCAAAAAAGCACAAAGGTGCGAAACACTAAGGTAACACAGCTTCTGGAAAGTATGCATTAAGTTGATATCAGGTTGCATGACCATACATTTTTGCAAAGAAAAATGACCATTCCTTACAGGTGCTATAACATCCACAGGATTCAAATCAAACGCAGCCTCAGAAAAAGGCAGTCTGGGCTGTGCCCTGTACTGTAAGGGCCACCTGCATCGCTCTCGGCAACGGTTGGGGTATCATACCTGTCACACAGATCGCCAAACCCGAGCCAATTAAAGTTTCACAACCCCAGGCTGCAGGACTTTGTTCAGTGAGTGGAGTGCGCTTCCAGTTTGCTGGAAGTCGGTCCGTTTTCACTTACACAGTGTGGTACTCACTCAAACATTTCCCTTCCTCGTACCCGGAGGAAATAAACCCTTGGCACACTTTCTGAGCTAATGGTCTGCACAGCGTCACGGAGACCCAGGGAGGAATGATGTCACACATTTTCCAACAGGAGATATGCTCACTGACGCAATGTTCAAACGAACTGCTGGCAGAGCCCACCAAGAGTCTAAGGCAAAAAACAACACTCGCAGACTTTCCTTCTACCAGTTTAGAGTTACCAGGTCCCTCCTCCCCAGCGCCAGTCCCTCTGTGGGCCACAAGGCAGCCCTTGTCTGTGTTTCATTCTAAGATGTGCAGCTTGCGCAGGCTCCCACCTACCATCGCTGCTTCCCCTGAGGACTACATCTGGCGACGGTGTCTGCCGGGAGCGGGAGCCAAAGGAGTCCAGGCTGTCGAAGGAATCATCGCGGCCGTGTCGAGGGGGAGACAGGGAGTCACTACGCTCGGAATCCCAGCAGTCGATGTAACCACTGTCTCGGATACTCCGCTTAGGACTCTCAATGTCATCAGTCTCCTGTCCAAAAATAAAACATAAAAAAAACAAAAAACGACAGACATTACAGCAACAGACGTTGAGCCTTCCATCACAGGAAAACCAGTCTCCAGTGGCCTCCAAAAATTCCTGCATCTAGCATCCGTAGGAACAGGTTATGACAGCCAGTTAGCGAATGGATGATCATCTACCAGCCAACGTTTCATTCTTCCACCCTTCCCTGCGGCAACTTTCCCAACCAGAAAAATCACACCCCTGAAGAAAGAGAAATCCCCAGGAACTCCCACTCCACAATGTTTAAAAAAAGAAAATCAAAGGAAAGGGAAATAAAACATCATCACGTTTGAATTCACAAGAATACAATGACAGATAAAAACAAAAAAAAGGAAAGAAAACTAAAACCTTAACCTTGACCCGCCTTTCGGAATCCATAACAGCATGTCTGTTCTGGGCCGGAGCCCCGAGGTTAGCGGTGCAATTGCTCCTGTTTATGCGACCTGGCAAATGCACGCAGCATTTGTTGTTGCAACAGAATCAGATCCGTAAAATCCTGGAGCAGCGGGCTTCCCTCTCCTGCTACCTTGAAGGGAAATTCCTGCTCTGAAAGGGAGCTGTCTTTCTGAGGCAGAAAGTTAAAAAAAAAAAAAAGCAATGAAAATATGCAAAATGCTTTTCCTGATGCCTCAGAAGAATCCAGGCATGCTCTCGCTCTCGGCCAGCTCCTGGCGCTGGGGGAGCTGAGAGCACTTGTGGCTGACCCACATGTTCAGAGCAGGGAGAACAATGGCTGTCTTTGACAGCCTGTGATTATAAATTCTTTTCAGCGCAAGCAGCACATACTAAAACACTGAAACTCCAGCAGGAGAAAGGTCAGTCCAAGCCATCCTCACCCGCCTATTATAATAAAAGCCTTGTTCCCGCCTGTGTCTTAGCATTAATTACAATAGTCCAGGCTGACGAAAACAAAAATAACTCTGGTCACTCAAAGATAAACCCCAATTTAATTCCCCCTCCCCCCCCCATGGCCGCTTAAGATCGGGACTGTGGATGACATTGTTCTCATCTGCAGAGACTGGAATGTCACACTGTGGATTTCCTGGGATGCTCAGGAAAGTCCCCTCCACATTCCTAAAGGAAAGAAAAAAAAATATTCTCCATATCTGAGATTTTGGAAACTGTCTATACTGGCTCATATGCCCACTGGAGTCAATGCCTTTGCAGGAAGTGCCTTTGCCGGCTGCTTCTGTCAATTATATCCAGACCCTCTGACACAATCCCCAATGGGAGGCACTCAGAGTGGGTGGAGTGGTTGTAATTCACGGGGCACACACAGATTCTGCACAGGAGAAGGCAACGGGAGAGAGGAGAAGGGCAGGGCTGAGAGGAGCTCCCTGCAGCCTCCACTCCGAGGATCTGATCAGTGCCTCTGAAGAATAGGTTGTCAAAGCCCACACACTCTCCAGGGGGAGGCAGACATTCCAGCTATGGAAATGAAGGTAGTTTACTTGTAGGTCAAAAGTTAACCAGGACCTGAACAAAAGCCAGGTCCGGCACAGGAAGAACTCATGACCAACTTTTTCAGTATAGATCTAACTTGGATATGGTTTTGTATTTAATTTCTTAAGAAAGGCAAATAATTATCTTGTTTTATTTATTCACTGAGAAGAAGCCAAATGCTTCAGGATAAACATTGTTTTTATTGAATATTTACTACAGGTCTGGGGCTATGCTTGATGTTTTTTATATGTTATACTAGAGGCCCGGTGCACGAATTCGTGCACGGGTGATGTCCCTCTGGGTGGCCTGCAGGGATCAGGCTGAAACCTGCAGTTCAACACCACCTGCAGCTCCTACCTGCCACTCCTGCTCATCCTGGCCCCACTGTGCCTGCCACGGGCTCCCGCCCAATCAGTCCCGATCGGGGAGAGGCTTGTGCTGCCACAGCAGCGCTTACCAGCCATGAGCCCTGTGTCTGGCACCCTCCCAAGGGGAGTGGCCTGCAGGATTGGGCTGAAACCGGCTCTCTGACATCCCCCAAGTGGTCGCACTTTGGGAGAGGGCACAGGCCAGGCTGAGGGACCCCACCAGTGCACAATCGGGCCGGGGAGGGACTGCAGAAGGGCTCCAGGGCATGTCTGGCCCACCACACTCAGTCCTGATAGGCTGGACCCCAGCAGCAAGCTAACATACCAGTTGGAGCATCTGCCCCCGGTGGTCAGTACATGTCATAGCAACTGGTCGACCAGTTGAGTGTCTGCCTCTGGTGGTCAGGGCACATCATAACAAACCGATGAGCAGGCTTAGCATATCATTAGCATATTACACTTTGATTGGTTGTTCAAATGTTCTGCTGTTTGGTATATTTGCATATTACCCTTTTATTATATAGGATTATTTAATCCTCCCATCCTCCCACGCCAGTGATGTGGTTAGCATTGTCCCCATTTTACAGAAGAGAAAAATAAGAATCAGAAAGAATAAGTAACCTGGGGTCACATAGTAAAGAAAGCTGTGATCCCAACACAGACCCCTGTCTTCACATCCCAAGGTAAACCTAACCCCATTTGATCAACTTTGGTGTAGTAACAGCTGCCACCATCAGCATCATTGCCTCTTTCAAATACTAGACACTCCCTCCTTACTCTGTGGATGATGCTACCCTGGATAAAGTCCCTTCACTAAGTGCTGTTTATGCCCAGGTCCCCAAACTATAAAATTGCAAAAGAGAGGCAGTTTGGGGCAGTTTAGAATAGGTTATCAGCATGTCTTGGAAGCCTGACTGACTGGGTTTAAGTCCTGGCCCCACCCCTTGTCAGATGTATGACCTTAGCCAAGTTATTCTGCCTTGCCTACTCTCAGTTTTCTCATCTGTAAAATGGAACTAACCTATCTCACAGGATTGCTGGGAGGGTTAAGTGTTACTATACGCAAAGCATTCAGAAAAAAATGCCTGACTTATGCTAAGTGCTCAAAAGTGTTAGCTATGGTTATAATTACTAATATGTATTCATCTGAATATGTAAATAGCAATATATAAATCACATAAAACTTATAAATGTAGTTATATACACACAGAAACTCTCCTATCTCCTTCTTCATTTATATCCCGTATTTAGATGCTTTGGTCCAATTTCTCAATAGAGAGGGCAGACACTCAGGGAGCTGGGCCACTCATTTACAACTAGAAATGACAAAATTTTATAAACTGCTTGGGGCAGCATCACAAAACTGGATTTTCAAGAAAATAGTACCAAAAGTCTCTCCAAAAGGCCCAAATGTTCCCCTCACCCCTACTCTACAAACCATAGGAGAAGAGAAGTGAAGAAAAAGTCAGCATGGTTCTTGGAACCTCAGCTGCATTCTCACAGCTACTAGTAGTTATGGGAAAGAAACACAGGAAGACTGTTCTGTTCATGACTGTGTAGAGAGCCAAGAGTAAAACCTTGGATCAAGTGAGAGCTAGAAGCTGGATGGCATGGCCAGTTTGAAAAGTGAAAACCAGGCTACCCATGGCCATCCTCGGCCACGCTGGTCTCGTGGAACATCGAGGTGAAGCAAGAAGCTGGTTCTTCAGCCAGAAATATAGTTGTAGACTAGAGGCCCGGTGCACAAAAATTTGTGCACTCGGGGTGGGGGCAGGTCCCTCAGCCCAGCCTATGCCCTCTTGCAGTCTGGGACCCTCGGAGGATGTCCACCTGCTGGCTTAGGCCTGCTCCCTGGGGGGGATCGGGCCCAAGCTGGCAGTCAGACATCCCTCTGGCAGCCCGGCAGCTCTCAGGGGATGTCCACTTGCCAGCAGGGAGCAGACCTAAGCTGCAGTCAGACACCCTTAGTGCTGCTGAGGAGGCAGGAGAGGCTCCCGCCACCACCACGGTGCTGGCAGCCGTCAGTCTGGCTTGTGGCTGAGCAGAGCTTCCCCTGTGGGAGTGCACTGACCACGAGGGGGGAGCTCCTGCATTGAGCGTCTGCCCCCTGGTGGTCAGTGTGTGTCATAGTGACCAGTCATTCCCAGTCGTTCTGCTGTTAGGGTCAATTTGCATATTACCCTTTTATTATATAGAATAGAGGCCTGGTGCATGGGTGGGGGCCTACTGGTTTGCCCTGAAGGGTGTCCTGGATCAGGGTGGGGGTCCCGCTTGGGTACCTGGCCAGCCTGGGTGAGGGGCTGATGGCTGTTTGCAGGCTGGTCAAGCCCCCCAGTGGGAACCCTCACCCCATGGGGGTTTGGCCAGCCTGGGTGATGGGGCTGAGGGCCATTTTCAGGCTGCCCAAACCCCCTTCAGGGTGGGGGTCCCCACTGGGGTGCCTGGCCAGCTTGGGTGAGGGGCTGATGGCTGTTTTCAGACTGACCAAGCCCCCCGGCGACCGAAGCTCCCAGCCTTTTCTTTTTTTTTTATTCGCTCCAGCTCTGTGGCCATGGCAGCTGGAAGCAGGTATCTGGGGTTTATTTACCTTCTATAATTGAAACTTTGTTGCCTTGAGAGGAGGCAGCAGCCAGTGGGGAAGCTTGGCTTCCTCCATCATTGGGGCAACCAAGCCTCCTGCTTGCTCCAGCTCTATGGCTGCCAGCCGCCATCTTGGTTGGGTTAATTTGCATATAGTTGCTCTGATTGGCTGGTGGGCGTGGCTTAAGGCATAGCAAAGGTATGTTCAATTTGCATGTTTGTCTTTTATTAGTGTAGATATCAGCTAGATGGACAATTGTATTGGATTCCATCGTCACCCAGAATTAAGCTTTGGGGAGAGAGTAGAAGATTATAAACCAATGCAAAGGCTAGCATAATTTAAATTCACCTTTCTTGGGGTCTAGTTAGTCCTCTATGTCTTTCACCTAGAAGCCCAGCAGCATCCTGTCTTCTACAGAGAGCACTCCAGGGAAGGGAGATAAGACTCCAATCTGTCCATTGTGCTAATTGCTAGTTGTTCCAGTAAAAGTGTGTTAATGAATGGGGTGAGAACAACCAGTTTCCATGACATTTTTGAATTATTTCACTCATCTGTCCTCTTCTTATTCCTTTTTGTCAGAGATAATGAGAACCAGCGAGTGTTTGGTAGATGACTGACTTATGGTATCTGAGAAACTCCAGATGCCTCTGTTTTACCACCCAACATTTCCTGCTTCCTTTGTGATTTATAAGGTGGCTCAATCCTGTTCTGGAGGTTTTCAGGTTCTAATTTTTCAGCCTGATGACCCATCTCCGCCCATCACACTCTGGTTGAGGAGGCTATTCATTCCACGGATATTTGCTGAGCATCTTCTGTGTCCAGACACTCTCCTAGTGCTGGGGACACAACATTCAGAAAAACTGATAAATACCCCATCTTCATGGGCCTCATGTTCTAGTTTGGAAGATAAAATGTAAACATAAAAAAATGAATACAAAGTTGGGTGGTGTCATTGAAAAATAAGGCAAGTTAAGGAAAGAGAAGTTGATGGTGGTTGCTATGTTGAGCAGAGGTCTAGGCTTCTCTATTGTGATCCCCGTTATTCCCTTGTTCTGGTTAATATCTCTCACCGCTTGAAAAAGTAGTGGCTTAGGCCAGTCATGGTGTCCCTTGCCCCTGGTCACATGGCTAGTTCAGAGAAAAGACCCACATTGGGTCAGAGTACACTCCTAGAATTTTACAGCTGGGACTAGGGGGAAGAATTCCCTGCCTTTCTGGACAAGGAGCTAGAAGAACATCTTGAATCAGCAGGTGAGGAGCCATGGGTTGAAGATGATGGAGCAAAAAGATGGAAGGAGCCTGGGTCCCTGAAGATCACCAGCTTATACCAGCCCTGGAATGCTCATGTCCAGACCTCATTTATGTGACTTCAAAATAAAATTCTATTTATTGAGCTACTGTTAGACTTTTCTGCATTTCCCAGTTGAAACCAATCCTAATTGAGAAAATTAAATAGTATATATTCCAGATAAACTAATATTTCCAGGTATTGGGAAGACCTGTGAAGTTCAGGTCAGTTACTCTCTATATAGAAGCCTGAAACTACCACAGCTGGCCATTTTAGTTATGTCATGTTTTGTCCAATGATACTAACTACTCTCCCATATCCTGTGACATTATCTATATTCATTAAAAAAGGCAACAACTGTTCACAATAACAGGCCATTTCAAGGCAAGTGAAATAACCAATTATCTCAATAGAAAGCCAAGCTAAGCTGAAGAAACCAATAACTGCTCAGATTGTAGAGGAGCTGGACTAGGGGTAAGAAATGGCAATACCAAGAAGAAACCAGATTCCAGGAGAATCCAGCAGGGGAACTGAGGCAGAGCTTTTAAATATGTGGTTTAAAGAGATGACTCATATCACTATTCCAGTGATGGCGAACCTTTTGAGCTCGGCGCGTCAGCATTTTGAAAAACCCTAACTTAACTCTGGTGCCGTGTCACATATAGAAATTTTTTGATATTTGCAACCATAGTAAAACAAAGACTTATATTTTTGATATTTATTTTATATATTTAAATGCCATTTAACAAAGAAAAATCAACCAAAAAAATGAGTTCGCGTGTCACCTCTGACACGGGTGTCATAGGTTCGCCATCACTGCACTATTCCATTCCAAATTTAATATATAAAGAATTTAGATTACACAACTCCTGACTGTGTCTGTACTGGATTTGCACTTTCTCTAACTAGAGAGTTAGATTAAAAAAAAATTAAAGGACAAAAAAGAGCTAAGAAACACTAAGAAACAATGTATTGTGCTTAATGAAGTGGGTGTGTTTGTTTTATTTTTAAAAGTAATTTAGCTTTAAAACTTTGTTTATATGTATTACACCAATATGAAGCATTGTCTATTTATAAATATGTGAGCCAGACAGGCTCCAGGCAAATGAGAAGAACTGTGAGGGCTATTAGCTTTAATTCAAGGAAAGAAGTCTACATTATTAGAAAGTTCAAGCAATTTCTTGCTTTCAGTATTAAAAGAAAAATGTTAGAGCATGGACTGTTCCTTCGTGAGGTCTCATTAGTGCAGTTAGTTTGCATGTTGGAGAAAAAAGAAGAGCAAAGCCTCAGTTGACTTGCGCCACAATGTGGGCCTTATCCAAAGCCCGTGAAAGCTGCTGATGACAAATGAGCCTCACCTATTCACTGAGGCTGGCTGGGTGGGGCTTCTCTCCGATAATACTATATCCCAGCACTTAGAATGAGTTAATCTATACTGCTGAACCTTAAAAGGAACACACAGGCAGGCACACATAAAACGTCCCACTGTCTCCTTGACAAATTCTTACCATAGGTCTTCCCCATAATCAAATAAAGCTTTCAATGTTGTCAAAAATGTTTTCCAAATGTCCAGCTCATTCAACTGCAATGGCCATGAAAGGCACATCTTAGAAGAGAATATGCCTAATTATCCAGAGCCTGTCCAGGGTGGATGCCCAGGCAAGAACTTGGCTGATGTTGACCTCACCCACACCAGGGGCCTGACGGGTAATCAAAATGACCTTTAGGACAAAAGTGCAGAACAAGTCTTCATTTTTGTATAATGCTGTATTGTTTAACTCAGGCATTATTCCCCCAAGAAAACAAGCACCAAGCTCTTTGGCACACAAAGCCATATATTGACAGATTGAATCTGCTCTTTTGAAATTAAAGTTGGATGAGCTCAGGTCTCCCATTCTCCAAAGGGTATAAAAGTTCAGGTGAGCGTGGAATGCACGAGGGAAGGATGTCATTGGCAGGACATCATTGGTATGCTAAGTGGCCGTTTCATTGAGTGCATGACATTATTGGCCTGTTCAATTCCACTGCCCAGAACTGTAAGGATCTTAAAAACGGGCAAATGGGTTGCTTTCCCACCTCGTCTGAACCTCACGGGATAAAGAAGAAAAGCTGTTACCTTTCGCATCTGAGCCAGCAAGCCTTCGAACTCCTTCAAGTTCAGCGTCGTCCCACTGTAGGATGCACAGCTATTTGCTGCCTTTCCCAGCCAGTAAATGGTAACTAACACCTGCGAAACAAAACCATGCATAAGAGCGGGAGAGTTTTCTCTCAAGAATTACTTTTAAACTAAGGAGCCAATAAAGCTCCACTAACAGGAAATCCACTGATTTATGAAAACACCATCCATGAGGTAACCATTAAATGTAAATCATTTTAATAAGAACCTAATACTGTATCGGTCACACAAACATGATTCAGTAGTTAAAATGAGACTCCAGTTTTAGGAAGAGTTCATCTATAAGACAGCAAGAAGGAAAAAAAATAAATCCTCTAAAATTATTTTTGTGTAATGAAATATTTAAATATTCAAAATTAGGAAGCAAATTTTTTCAGAAACTCTTGGCATTTTTACCTAGACAAGTAATGACTAGGTTGTCAGTTCCTTGTGAGAGAGGTACTTTCAAAGGTCTACACCTTCTAATTATGGGCACAGAGGTTCTGCTAAGATCAATGGCAAAAATCCTAAAGAAGTGATGGAGGTTAATTAGTGGTTTCCAGCACAAGATCAACACAACATGTCTAACTAAAGTCAGAAGAAAACAATGTAAGAATACTATGTGCAGATATCTAGTCTTGGGTTACAGGTGGACTCCCATTAATCTGAAAAGAGAAATATTTAGCCTGGACAAGGTTGTTGCCAATTAAACTATCTTAATAGTTATAGAGATTCAACGTGTTTAAGAATGTCTAAGAATGTCTGTGAGTATTCAATGGTCTGAAGCTACAGCCCAAAGTTATTTTGTTCTGTCTTTCCAAAGAAACTGTCCATAAAGTAAATGCTCTTTACACCAACGGTCCCATAAAATCCAGCAGGGGTTGGCTAAAGATGAATCCTTAACACTGAATTATTGGGATCTGAAGCTTATGGAAAAGCTAAGACTATTATTTCATTTTCCCATTCGAACCTATTGCTTCATCCAGGCTGGGAAGTACTTATTGTCCCCCTCTACTTGCTAGGCCAGAAAATGCTTTGGATAATGGTATGGGTACATGGGTCCAGATGACAACAAGCCCCAAATACAGTAATGTGCCATCAATGCTTAGGTATGATTTGGTTTTCTACCTCTGTGGAAATATTTTACTTCAGGATTCCTTCAAAACTTCCAGAAAGTCTTTTTTTTTAATTGATTACTTACAAATGAATTTCCAGAGGATAATTCCAAATGTCAGGACATTAACTAGGAACATAAGCTAATATGTGCTACGAGTATGAGGCTATCCTGAAAGGTGTAATAGGAGAATAGAAAACAGAACTGTCTTGTGTTTGAGATGATAGGTTCTCTGATTTGTTTAAAATTGTGTGATGGAAAATGGCATATAGCCCTAGTTTTATAGAAGAACAAAAAGAAGATAAGAATAAAACTGTCAATCAAATATCATAGTACCCTAGAAACAAAAAAAAGGGGATCACAGCTTAGTTTTTTCTATTTTATATGCAGAAGGTCATTTCTTACATTCCTCAATGTAACCTTAAAATAAGGGGCGGGGGTGGCGGGATTAAGCAAAAAGGGGAAAAAAGAGAAAGAACTCATGGACATGACAACAGTGGGTTGATTGCAGGGGTTAGGGAAGTAGGTGGAGGTGGAAGAGGGTATAAAGAAATAAATGGGGATGGGAAGAAATAAAATAAAATAAAATAAAATAAAATAAAATAAAATAAAAGAAAGAAAGAAAAATAAAATGAAAGAGCAGTAATATACTTGCTTTTTGAAAATAAGATCTAACTTCAAAAAGTTGATTTGGGGAAATACTAATTAAAAACTCAAAAGATTAGTAGGAGAAAAAAAAGTACAAGCCAATGACAGTCAACATTATTCACATTGTGCTGATCTCTCCCTGAAACAATTTGCCCAACTGCTTAATTTAATAATCCCAAATATGCCAACCAAGAGCCAGGAACTAACGTCACTGCTGAGACATCGTCTTGTGTTTAAGAAATTGAATCACAACCAGAGCACAGGCTTTCATTTGCTCATTTCTGGATTGAGCACTTCTTTAATTAAAAAGAACCCCCCCAAACTACCATTTTTATTTCTATAATAGTCATTAATTATTCTATCAGAGACACATATACTAGTTTTCTAGAATTCTTTCTGGAACAGCATAGGAGAGACACTGAATGTATGAACTAAATTTTACACTTGAACCATCAAAGTTCAGAAAGAATAAGGTGGGAAAGTGAAGTTAAAACACTTACATTTTTCAGCTTCCTACTATAATCAAGGCTCCTAATTAAGGAAAAGGAAAAGAAAATATGGTCAGAACAGTAGTTTCTTCACTGTGATCTTTCCTTACACACATACTTTTAAGATATACTTGAATTAACTAATATAATAAAACCAGGAAAATATAGTATTTTAAGGCCGATGATTACTATTTCAGGTACTAAGTAAAACTGTTTAGAAAGTGCAAGGTGGGCTTGAAGTTTCATAGTGCACCATGAAAACATTAAGACTAACATTTGGAAAATAAAGAATTCCACTTACTAGTAAACCCAAGACTATTTATATTTGTACTAGAGGCCCGATGCATGTAATTCATGCAAGAGTAGGCCTTTTTTCCCCCGGCTGCCAGTACTGGCTTTCCTCTGGCACCCGGGACCCAGGCTTCCCTCTCAGCCCCGGCTTCATCTGGAAGGACGTCTGGAAGGACGTCCAGTCTAATTAGCATATTACACTTTTATTATTATAGATTTTCCAAGTTTAACTGTTAAAGCAAAATTGTGCCTTGATTATAAACCACTGTCAAATGGAAATCTGCACTTTCAAATTTTTTTCATACAAGTACTTTTAAAATGGGTCTAAAACCTTAATTAATAGACCTGAAAAGATATGTACAAGAGGTAATAATATCCAAATATTTGTCCTTTTCTCTTATGGAAATAAATTAGTGTTGGGAATTAGCCACAAGCAAGAAAATAAGTATGTTATGTTTAACTATACACATGTGCATTCTTAAATATACATAAACTAGAGGCCCAGTGCATGAAATTCATGCATTCAGGGGGGTCCCTCAGCCTGGCCTGCACCCTCTCACAGTCTGAGAGCCCTCGGTGGATGTCGGGGGGAGTGGGCCTAAGTTGGCAGTCAGACATCCTTAGGGCTCCTGGGAAGGCGGGAGAGGCTCCCACCACCGCCGCTGCACTGGCCAGCCATGAGCCCGGCTTCTGGCACACTGACCACCAGGGGGCAGCTCCTGTGTTGAGTGTCTGCCCCCTGGTGGTCAGTGTGTGTCATAGCGACTGGTTGTTCCACCGTTCAGGCAATTTGCATATTAGCCTTTTATTATATAGGATATTTATTCTCAAACTATAAACAAATAAGCTAGCTGGTGGAACTTTCTAAATATTTATACAGTGAAATATAAAAAATTTCTCTAAAATTATTCCAAAGTTTCTTTAACATGTCAACAAATAAATACCAGGAAAAACAAATACCGTTTTTCCCCACAAGTGGGGGGACAAGAGGGAGAATGTAATATTATTGTATAAGCCAGTCAAGAACTCCTTCAAGTTTTTACACTCCAACTACTTCATTGCTGCATATCTGATCCAAAGTACATGTCAATGACTAGGTGCACGATTTTAAGTCCATTGAAGTTTGAGGAACTAGAAAACGAAGTAGTACATACTAAGATGAACCCATCAATAGGGGCCTGGATTAAAAGAAGCATTGGTCCAATTTGGATTCAATTAAGAGAATGTTTTCCTGTTCCCTCCTTTTAACAGAAAAAAAATGTTATGTCAGATATTTGCTAGGATTTTTAAAAAGTTTAACAAAAGAAACAGATGAAAACAAACAAAATCTACAAAGGATTTGAAATTTGTATGAAAAACAAGTTAAAAACAGGGAACACCCAACTTTTTCTGCATTGACAATGAAAGTTCATTGATTAAAACTGTAACCCATTTCTAAAAAGTCATGCTGGGCACATAGTAGGAGCTCACAGAATATCTGCTGAACAACTTCCACACAGCAAACAGTAATGTGAAAATGCTTCCAAACTCTGCAGGTAAATCCTCAGGAGCAAAGGAAAGCCTTTCCTCATTTTCATCCAGTTGCTCCGGTTCCGTGGAATGATTCTTGCTGCCTGCCCTTTGGACTGTGCTTTCATTCCCCATCTAGGTTGTCTGGCATCCATTATAGGTAGAGTTCACTAAATTACACATTCAGTAATCATTTGCAGGTTTTTCCTTTTTAGTCTACTCAAGTTACTTCTCAAAAGAAAAAAAAATCTAAAAAAATTACCTACCATGAAAACTCGAGAGTGTTTTTTAAAAAACAATTTCAGAAAAGCATCGAAATTTCCTCTGTGGGATCTACCCCTATAACTTATCGCTTATGACATTAATTGGTGTCAGTGGGGTGGTTCTCCATCGCTGCTAATGTTCAGCTCAACTCTCAGAGGAAAAAGTAGAGAAATACAGCAGTTCTACTTGAATCTACGAGAGCTATAAAGCCTATGTCTGGTGCGAATGTCCCACGCACAGGGCCAAGTTAACCAGCGCCATTTACAGAAAAGTCATAAGCAGAAAGCCCCACTCCTCCCTAAAACTAGAAATGGTTTTCTAAGTACTGTCAATGAATTTATGGCATAATCTTAATATAAAATTATTTCTGTTCTAAATATTCATTCAGTGAAATAAAACATTTTCTCTATAATGATTCCAACTTCAGGATCCTACCGGGCTTGTGGACTGCCCCTCCCACCACACTCAGCCTTGCTCAGTACCCTTCTACCACACTGGCCACTTTTCTCTTTCTTTTTTGTTAATCTTCACTTGAGGATATTTTTCCATTGATTTTTAGAGAGAGTGGAAGGGAGGGGGAGAGACAGAGAGAGAGAAACATTGACGTGAGAGAGGCACATTGGTTGGTTGCCTCCCACACGCAGGGCCAGGGATCCCCCAGATCAAGCTTGCAACCAAGGAATGTGCCCTTGACCAGAATCAAACTCATGGGCTGCCACTCTATCCACTGAGCCAAAATGACTAGGGCTGGCTACTTTTCTTTTTAAACATCAAGTTGGTTTCTTCTTCCCCAGCCTTTCTATATGTTCTTCCTCTACACTCCATGCCTTACAGATCTTTGCATGGCTGGTTCTTGCTTCCCATTCATGTCTCAGCTCACAGCTGAAATGCTGTCTCTTCAGAGAGGCTATTCTTGACCACCTCTGGACTTATTACTATCTTTCTTCTTCCGGTTCTCTGGTGACTGGAAAGTATCTGACACAGAGTAGCTGCTCAGTAAAGACTGGTTAAATGAATGAATGAAAACTGATAGTGTCATAGGAGAGGATGATGGAAAAGTATTGCCTAAAGAGAATACTAATGCTCAAGTGAAAGAAAATTAAAAAGGGGAGAAAATAAGTAGAAGAAGTGTAAAAGGGAAGATAGACTGAAAGACAAGATAAAGAAGGGAAGGGAAGCACAGGGAAGAGATGAGGAAAAGAAACAGAGGGAAAGATAAAGAAAAGGACAGAGAAAAGAAGGGGAAGATGCGACAGTAACCAAGAAGTGACTATGTCTGTGTACATTGGTCTAAGTGACTTTTCCCCCTTTAGGTTGCTTTCTGTGCCTTCGAATTAAAGTCTCTTTTTTTCAGAAGTTGGCTAACTGTCTTCTCAGATCTGCACTGAGAAAAATTTAGCTAGAATTATACCTGAGAAAACATCTGTCCAATTTCATTTTATAGATGAAAAGGCGGCCCGGCCGGTATGGCTCAGTGGTTGAACATCGACCCATGAACCAGGGGGACATGGTTCAATTACTGGTCAAATCAGGTCACATGCCTGGGTTGTGGGCTCGATCCCCACTAGGAGGCGTGCAGGAGGCAGCTGATCGATGATTCTCTTATCATTGATGTTGCTATCTCTCCCTCCTTCTCCCTTCCTGTCTCTGAAATCAATAAAAAATTGTTTTTTAAAGGAAAACCCAATTGAAACAAGGGAACTTGCCTAGGATTACAGAACTAGAGAGAAGCAGATGGAGGGCTAAACACCCAACTTACTGATGCCCGGTTTTTTGCAGGTAACAAGAAAGGTGCTAAGAGTTCTGAATTTCCAAAATCAATCTCAGCATTCTCCTGGTTTAGTAAGAGTGATTTAAAGTAGCTCTAATAAACGAATAAATACATCAAAGTGAACTTTCCCCAAGCAATGTGTGTGTGACTAATTATTATGATGTTGCACAGTTAAATATTGTTTTTGGTCACTTGCCACCAGGTGAAACTACAATGTGAGATGAGGCAGAACCTGAAACAATTTCCTAAAATGAACAGTGATTTATAGAGGCTGGGTACAATAACAAATGGAGCATATAATGACTGAGATGAGGTTGATGGTGGTTTCCACATTCAAATATCATAATTTTTATTCTGTTATTTTTTGTCCTTAGCCAACATTTTCCTATGAGAAATATTAAAGAATGACACATTAACAACAGAGAAGTGATTTTATGTAATCAATCATGGCTGAATCCCCCTTATTTCCCATTGCAAATAATAAAATCCAGTATAATTTCCTAATTGGATTTCATTCAGTAGTTTCCATTTCCCCCCCATCATTAAAAAAAAAATCAATACTGTCAAGTGGTATAAAATTAACAGCTCCGAATTTTGGCTTTTCTCCCCTTTTCTGTTCTTCTATGATTAAATAACCCAAAAGTAACCAAAAGAAGTGCAGACAATCCACAGATTCTTCCCATGTAATTAAGGTGATTAATAAAGTATATCCATGCCATATATTCTTTGACTAAAGTGAAAAATGTTTTATGTGAAATTTGTAGAGTCATAAGGACTTTTTTTCTCATTATTCTAGTCATGATCTATTTCTTTACAGAGAAGCACATTGCCTTTTCTTTTACTTTACATTCTTTCCCAAGAATTCTTTGGCCCAAACATGGCTCATTGAGTAGATACAGTCAACAATAGGTAAATGGCCAATGATCCATCTTCAAAGAATTTGATCATTGACACATATGAGAAAACAGTTACAAATGTAAAAGAAGAGATTTTTCCATGATCTATTGCACTCTTTGCATAATAAACAGAGTTGAGATCTGTTTACCAAGTTTTCAGTCTTCCAAGAGCCTATTCAAATGCCCAAATGGAGCCAATAAAAGCTTTTTGTCTAATTCACACAGATTCTTTGCATATTTCTCTCTTGCCTTCGCCTCCTTTAAGTTTCACCTAATATTTTTCTCCTCTTTAACATCCTAATTTATAGGAGTGATACTTGATTTCAAAAAATTCTATTTAATCAGAATGAAAGCTATACACAGAGGGAAGGTCAATGTGTCTTGATTTGAAAGCCTGATTTTTACCTTTACATTTTTATTTTATGAGGCATGCCCAATTCTCTGCCTCTTAAAGCTTAAAACATCATCACAAAACTACAAATCAAACCATAAATGGGTTTTCCTTAAATATAAATCGTGTATTACTTACTTGACTGTTACTCTGTTGGATGTATCCTGTAGGTCACTAGGGTCAAAAAGTTGAGATTCTTTAAGGCCGAGCTCTTTACAACCTCTCAAGAATAAGATGATATTGTCCTGGGAGGAAGAAAAGAAATTCAAGTCTGTATTATTTTATATTATCTTTATAAACCAGCCCTTTCTCTTTAATAGTCTAAATTACTGGAGGGTCGGCAGTCATGAAGGCAGCAAGAGTCAGGTCTAAATCATGGCTTGTTGGATAAAAAAAAATTCATACTTTGTTAGGATATGCTGGAGTAAGCAGACATGTCAAACTTTTAAACCCACAGCCATGTCAAATTCATTTTTTTCCCTTTACCTTAACACATTTTTGTAAAACTGCAAGTAAACTATCATTGAGAAGCAGAACTTAGCATCTTTTGGAGGAACCATACCCAAAACCAGATATTCCCTTTTGTAAAGTTTTGTCCATATCTTATTGCCTAGAATCTGGTTCAAAATTTATATAAAAAAATTAGTTTTAGTACGAGAGTGTCACCTTCAGTGAGTTGTTTTTTAATTGATCTTCTAAAATACATTCTTTATCAGTTGGTTTTCACTGCTAATACCTTTTTGTGGACATAAATGGAATTAAATGGGAAAAATCTAAACTTAACTGGGAAGAGGGGGAAAAAGGAGCAAGGAAAGGCTTTGAAAATAACGCAAAAGACCCTCCTAGTGAGAATTGCCTCTCACAGGTACAAATATACTTTGAACTGGTGGAGTAGCAGGCACAGTTGACAATTAAGGAAGGTTCTGGTCATCATCTGTTGGGAGTCATTAAACATAAACAAATGGCTTTGGAAGGGATTGCAATTGTGGGCCATCCTTATGGAAGTCCGGGGTGTTAGCAGCAGGTTCAGCAGTTACAAGGTTCTGTTATCTTCCTGAAAGACTTCTGACAAGCTAGCTGGCCCTATTAGTTAGTGAACGTTATAGGAGAGGAATGATAAAGGTTGGCTCCAGAACCCAGATCATGTGAATCCATCTGAATACTGTAAGAACGATGCTACAAAAACCTGAAATGATGGTGGTAGTTACTGAATCATGTATTCACCCAAATGCAGTTTAACAAGCAAACAGAAAGCAGAGGTTTTCCCAACAAACCAGTGTGTAGGCAGGATTCTAAGATGAACCCCAAAAATCTCACTCCCTACTGTACATACTGTGTATGGTCCCCTCCCCTTGAGTGCCAGTAGAACCATAAATGTAAGGAGCTATCAATCACTCTGTGGCTATGTTACTAACCAGTTGGCTTTGAATTAATCAAAAGAAAATCATCTGATTGGGTCAGACCTACTCAGGGGAGCTTTTAAAGGCAGGTAAAGTCAGGGTTCCTGGTGGCCATATGTTTTAAAGCTGTAAGGAGATGCATTCTGTCAACAACCACATGAGCTTGGAGAGGCTTGGATGAAGCTAAACTAAGACCTCAGCCCCTGCCAGTACCATGGTTTCAGCCTTGTGAGATCCTGAGCAAAGAACCCCGTCATGCCATGTCCATACTTCTGGCTGCAGAACCCAAGATAATAGTTGGGTGTTGATTTAAATGGGCGCTAAATTTGTAGTAATTTTCTATTCAGCAATAAAGAAGATTAATACACCCAGGATCAAAACAACAAGGGCAATAGCAATAAACTGCTAACATTTATTTAGCCCTTTTTATATGCTAAGCGTTTTTCCGAGAGCTTTCATCCTCATTTCAGATGAGCAGTTGGAGGCACAGAACTATTAAGCACCTGGTCTACGTTCACACAGCCAGCGAAGGATGGAGATGCAAAACAATGGGGCATATATGAGGAACTCCAGCATAAAATCTAAGGTCAGCACCAAAGGAAGATGATGCTACCGAGTCAGGGGCTGCTCAAGGAGGGCCTTGAAAACCATGGAAGGCAGGCTGTGAAAGTCACAAAGGGGCTGTGATCTGAGAAATGAATGCCCGGATCTGCAGCAGCAGCAGATGGTTGGAGAGGTAGACAGGGTGAAGGAAGGACTTACAAAGGACAAGATAGGAGACAGAGAGACCAATGAGGAGAGACTACAGTCTCACTTTCCCCCATGGCCCTTCCCAGAATGTGTTCTTTCTGGTGTCCCTGGATTTTTTTCAGCAGGCAAGAGGGGCCATCATTCACAAGACCTGTGTCATTCAGAAGGCCTCTTGTAGACTAACATGAGCTGGTCATATTCTGAAGTCATCTATACCTTGGCCAGTCTCTCCTTCAATGATCAAATTTCTCCTTGGAGTTTTTCTATGTTCCCTCCCATGTCCAAAGATTTATCTATGTTCAGGTAAGTTTTTTCTAGGGCATTCAACTGTTTGGAGACATATTTCTAGGGCATATTTCTGGTTGGTCTGTGAGCTATGAGGGCTTCCAGCCTGGAGCAAAGCAAAGGGTGTGTCCTGGTACTCTAGAGGAATCATTTGCAAGCACAATAAGAGGACCGGACCTGTAACTACCCTGTGGTTCCATAGGAAGCACATGAGTGGGGCATCTCTTGTTCTCAAGAAAGGTGAGGAGGCACGTTTTCGTATGCATACCCAGATGCCCAGATGCATGTCTGAGCACCACGCTGTATTCAGCACACAGACTGCAAACACAAAAGCGCTGTGTTACCAGCCAGGCTGACCAATTTGGGCTGGGAGATTTAAATAACTGCAGGTCTCCTTCCAACTTCTTGCTGCAACCTAATGATGCTGGACGGGAGCCAGACCCCAGTCAGGAGAAAAGCCAGAAGGAAGAATGCTCCAGCCAAGAGCTAACAGGGGCCGCCACCGGAGAGGGCAGGAAGCACTGTGCCTTTAATTATATAAAATGCAACTCGCAAATTCCCATCTGCCCTGCTCTTCACACTGCGATTTTTCCACATTTACAATTCCAAGCAAAACGCACATATTAATGTTTTAGTTTCAGAAGCCAAGCAGTACAACAGCATCTCATTTCCAAGGGAGAAGTGGAAGACACTGATTTACGACAATGACCACTCTATTCAACTCTCGCTAATGTAATATTATTACAAACCTATTATGATTTTGCAGGGCTTCAAAAGAAGTTCTTTAAGACTTAAAAAAAAAGTCAATGTCATGAAAAAGCAAAATTGGACATTAAAGACACATAATGACTGAACATGATCTATGAGCTTTGACTGGATCCTTGATCCAAAAAGAAAAGGTAATTGAGGGTATAAAAGTCCAATTTAGATGTAGCCTATATGTTGTATGATGTTTTATTTTTATTTATTTATTTATTTTTAAAATATATTTTATTGATTTTTTACAGAGAGGAAGGGAGAGAGATAGAGAGTTAGAAACATCGATGAGAGAGAAACATCGATCAGCTGCCTCCTGCACATCTCCTATTGGGGATGTGCCCGCAACCCAGGTACATGCCCTTGACCGGAATCGAACCTGGGACCTTTCAGTCTGCAGGCCGATGCTCTATCCATTGAGCCAAACCGGTTTCGGCTGTATGATGTTTTAAATGAATGTTAATTTTCTTAGACAGGATGACGATGAGATTGTGGTTATATGAGAGAATGCCTCAACTGATTGATTGACTGATTGATTGATTTTAGAGAGAGAAGAAGAGGGAGAGAAGGAAGACATTGATTTGTTGTTCCACCTACTTATGTATTCATTGGTTGCTTCTTATATATATGTGACTTGACTGTAGATCTAACGTGTAACCTTGGCATATCGGAACGATGCTCCAACCAACTGAGCTAACCAGCCAAGGAGAATGCCTTTATTTTTAAGCAAGTATATGAATTATTAGGGATGAGTTATCATAATGTCTATAACATAATTTCAAATGGTTCATGGTAAAAAAATGTATTTGTGTGCATGCATATAAGAGAGAGAGAAAGAGAGAGAGAGAAAAAAAATGAATGAATGTGGGCCTGACATGGAAAAGGAGAGACAGCAAATCTAGCAAAAGATCAACCATTAGTGAATCTAGATCAGAGATTGGAAAACATTTTCTGTAAAGGGCCAGAAAGTAAGCATGGCTTTGTGGGCCTATGGTGGTCTCTGGCTGAGACTCACCTCTGTTTTGTAGCCAGACAATTCATAAATAAATGGGAGGTTCCGTACTCCCACATACTTTACAAAAGTAGACGGTGGGCTGGATTGGGCCCAGAGTGGAGTCCACCAGTCCTGTTGTAGGTAAATGGTTATGCAGGCATACACCATGCCATTCTTTTCAGTACATTTGAAAATTTTCAAAAAAAATTTTTGGAAAAAGTTTTTTACATTTGTAGAAATACATTCAACTACATAGAGTTACGACTTCACCAGCAAAGCCAATTTCATAAAATTCAAGGGAAAAACTCAGTCACCTCCGAGACAACTATTGCCAAGTCACTGAGGTAAATGTTTAAGTACTGCTGATGGAAAGTGACCATTTCTGGCTAACTGGAAAACACTGTAACACGAATCTCCATCCAACACAGATACGTAACATACAGTTCCTAACAGAGTCCATTTTGTGCTAGACTCATATGAATATATGGATTTATACTGCTGTTTATGTAACTAGCATGCATTCATTCCTTCTTCTTCTTGGCCCTGTGGTTTCCCATTTCATTAACTTGTGGGCCTGCAATGTGTATGAAAATAGTCCCCAGGGGCCCGGGGTTGAGGTCTGGGCTTTCCACCTTCCACAGGACCTCTTCCCTGAATAAGTCCTTGTACTTCGCTCCCCTCCCATCTCTCTCCAAAGACAAGATGTAGGAAGGCCCTGGATGGTCTTTATCCCCAGAGTGTAGCAGTGTCCTTAGCATATAGTGGGAACTTACTAAATATTTAAAATAAAGTAAGTACTAAGTTCTAAGTACTCATAAGAATGAAAACAACAACAACAACAAAATTCTTAATAGGTAAAATAATAAGGACTTATAAAAAAAATCTCTCATCTTCAAGATTAATTTTCATGATCCGTCAAGTAGCTGGAATTGTTCAAGATACATATAAACAGAGGTGTGACTTCAAATTAGACAAAGGAAGCGAGAGAACAACAAATATATCAAGGAACACAGTATAACAGCTTTGGATCAGAAGGACGCTAGGCAGAGTCCCAGCCTCA